GGAACTTGTACATAACCCAAAAGAACCTTGAGAAGTTCGGCTACACAGCCGGATGTCCAGCGTGCGACAGTGCACGAGTCGGTAAGAGGAAGCCCGGAATAGCTCACAGTGCCAGTTGCCGGATTCGACTGGAGAAAGCGGTCTCTGAAGACCCCGTGGAGAAGGAACGATACGATCGAGCCTTGCTGAAGGCGGCGGAAGCCGAGTTAGCTGCAGCGCAGAAGCAAAAGGAGGCTGAGAAAGCGGAAGCCGTGGTGGTCGACCAGAAGGAAGCTGGTGGAGCTGAGGCATCATCAGCATCGGATCCTTCGAAGTCTGGAAGGATCGGACCTGCTCTAACGGCAAGGGCCGCTTCGGCCGCTGCCGGAGAAGAGGTTAGCAGTCCCAAGAGGTCAGTGGAGACTGGCCCAATGACCGAAGAGAGGTCCCCGACTAGGAGGCGAGCCACAGAAGGCAGCCCCTCCAAGAGAAAGCATGAGGGAGGAGGCGAAGAAGAAATTGAAGCGTCGCAAGAGGCGCGTGTGGTCGACACTCGCGTGATCGACACAGAAGCCTCGATCAATGAGTTGATTGAGATGCACCACGATGAGTGCGTGTGTGCCATAATCGATGAGGCAACAGAGCGGGGAGAGACCCGACCGGTGTGTGAAGAGCCAGATTTCTTCGAAGCTCACTTCGAAGAATTCTATGACGATATTTCCGGGAGAGAACTAGACCCCGACCGGGTGGTCAAAGCCAGGAAAGAGGAAGTTGACTTCATACGCAAGATGGGCGTGTGGCAAGAAGTGGACAGACCCCGTGACAAGCCAGTGCTGAAAGGCAGATGGGTCGACATCAACAAAGGTGATTCCACCAATCCCCGATACCGTTCGCGGTATGTCGGCAAGGAGATAAAGAAAGGCAGCAAGGGTGCCTTGGTAGCCGATTTCTTTGCGGCAATGCCACCTCTCAGTAGCTTCAAATTGCTGCTGACGCTCGCTATGGTGGATCGGTTCTTCGGTGTGGATGGGACGGTTCGTCCTCGCACCGAGCCGTGGTACATCATGTTCATTGATGTGAAAAGGGCACACTTCGTGTCCGATGCAACTCGGGAGTTGCACGTTGAGCTGCCCTGGGAAGTGCGAAGACCTGGGGAAGACAAAGTGGGCAGGCTTCTTAAAAGCCTGTACGGCACGCGGGATGCCGCTTCCAACTGGGAGAAGACGATACGCAAACTGCTCGAGTCCCTTGGGTTCGTTTGTTCCTTGGGAACACCGTGCAACTTTCTCCATGCCAGGAGAAACTTGAGGTGCACAGTGCACGGAGACGATTTCGTCACCCTAGGACCTATCCATGAGCTGCGAAAGTTTTCACAGGAGCTGAAAGCAGCATGGATGATCGAAGAGCGTGGAATCTTCGGTCCGCCAGAATCTAGACATCTGGGAACGGTGCAAGAAATGCGCCATTTGAACAGGATTCTCAAGTGGACTGATGAGGGAATCTCCTACGAGGCTGACCCTCGCCACGTGGACATCGTAGTAAAGGCTTTGGGAGTGAGCAAAGCGGTGACTACACCGTTGGTTCGAGAGCCACCGGACAACGTGGACGTCAAGGACAAGATGCTATCTGAACAGGAGGCGACCTTGTACAGGTCGTGTACTATGAGGATTGGATATATATCCCAGGACCGGACAGATTTGCAACGAGTGACGAGAGAACTGGCAAAGGGCATGTCAGCGCCTACGGAGAGGCACATGGAGTTGCTCAAAAGGTGCAGCCGGTACCTCCTACACTCACCTCGAGTGATCCAAATGTTTCGTCGTCAACGCATCCTGACTCGACTGGATGTTTACAGCGATTCGGATCATGCCGGATGCATACGCACCAGGAAATCAACATCGGGATGTGTGATCATGGCAGGATGCAACCTGCTGAAATCAGTGTGCCGCGGTCAAGCCGTGGTAGCGCTCTCATCAGGAGAGGCTGAATTCTATGCCTTGGTTACTTCAGCATCGGAAGCTCTGTGTGAGCAGTCCATCGCAAGTGAATGGGACGTTCGATTGTCAATCAATCTCATCTTCGATGCGACGGCAGGAGCTGCGATGAGTTCCCGTCGAGGATTGGGGCGTGTGAAACATGTTCACACTGCATTCCTGTGGATCCAGAACTATGTGACCAATGGGTTGATCAAGCTCACCAAGAAGCATACGTCTGAGAACTTGGCAGACATACTCACCAAACCTGTGACTGCGACTTTGATGGTTCAAATGATGGACCTGATGGGATTCAGGTATGTGGCAGGTAGATCGAAGATCGCCTTCGCTGTGTAGAACGGCTTGAGCCACCTTTTTAGTGTCTCCAGTACTCCTGATGTGACAACAGTTCATCAGTCGGGAGGCGTGCTGGAACCTGACCCCTAGTTAGTTGTAGTTTGGTTCACCTTGACTTGTTTCATCTGCAGCCGTTTTCGACTTCGTTCAGCGTAGATAAAAGGGTAGAGCCCAAGTGTGAGTTGCTACTTTTTCCGCTGCACTTTCATGATCTTCTGAGGATTGTGACTGTGAACCACTATAAATTACTGTACACTGCGCTGAATTCGTTGATGGTGGAGGGTTCCATCATGGATGTATTTTCAATGATCAAAACAATACGTAGTTATTATCACTCAGTATCAATAAATTTATTCATAGTTGTATAAATGGTCATATAATTATCAATATTGCAACCTATTACGTTTTTGGGGCTTTTCTCACTCATCCAGACCTGAAAGATCCTGTTTTGTCATGTTTTGTCATGGTCAGATTTGTTGGGGTTTAGGGACCCACACATTGGCTCAAAGCATACGCTTGTTATAGAAAGTCTGCGTTTGCAGTAGGTAAGTATATGTACGTATAATATTATGGGGATATCATGTGGGATATATGATGGAATAAGGATGATTTTGTGGGATTGAACTATCCTTAACTAGCCATGTTCATGGGCATATATATAATCCATTCCCCCCTAATGTTAGACCGTCTAACCATGGTGAGGGATGGGATGGGATCTTCTCCTGGGATCGGATCTTGAAGGCAAACACCCTGATGCTTCCTGTAGATGTTGCCAGAAAAAACTCCATTGAACATCATTGAACTATGTTCTCAGTAAATTCATCCCCTCTCCCAATTTTTCCCATAACAACCTAAAAATCCTGGTGTAGTATTGGATCTGCACATATCTGCACATTTTTGGGACACATATTATAGTATGGATTGTAATTCATATTAGGGGGATTACAGTAGATGTTTTTTTTTTTTAATAGCCATATTATAGCTACAGCTACATCACATCATATCATTACTGGTTGATGGTTTCAAACATTCTTTATTTTCCATTTCATATGTGGGATGTCATCCTTCCCATTGACGAACTCATTTTTTTCAAGATGGTTGTTGCACCACCAACCAGATTATGCGAATGTCATACACCTCTTTCGATGCGTATTCATTGTTTGGTCGCTGGCGGACTCTCAACCAATCACTAATCACTTGCTGCAAGCTACGAGCAAATGTTGCCCCAACAAAACATTAAAAAAAAAAACAAACTTGCTTTTAGCAAAGTCTTCAAGTCTATTTGACTTCACGTGATACTATATCAAATCATACCCACATGCGTGAGCAAAGCGACAGCCATTTAAGTATGACACTTGGATCTAGAGATTTGCTTTTTTTCAGCATGCCATCAATCCCTTTGAGCGCTCCTCCGAACACCTCAAAACTCTTTACAACCTCCTCCAAGACAGTAAGCTGAACTTGCTTGATGATGCTGTAAACTCATCCTATGCCATTCAGCTTGCATTGCCAGCTTGGAATAATTTTCTCCGAATTTTTCAAGTGATTTCAGAGATTTGTGAAAGTGTCTTTTGCTGCATAGCATGTGACACGTTTTGTGCGATTTGAGCAAGTCGTATGCAGTTTAGAGCTTGATTTCCAACTTTCCTGACAGCGCGTTCAGATTTCGAACGCGGAACAGTGATTTCAATCTTTGACAGAGCATTGAGATTTCGAACGCGGAATTCACACAGTGATTTCAATTTTGGAGAAACATTTAGACGTGCGAAAGAGGAATTTATAATCAGCTGCGGTACAGCTTATGAGTTTGAAGCTTCTCAGAAATCGTTTTGTGACGTTTCCACGGTTGAGACTTTTTTGAACATCCTGATGATCTCCTATTGTCTTGCGTTTCCTGGGTCCAAGCAATCTGTGAGATCGAAGTTTTTGAACCGCTTTTGATCACATTTCCAATTTGAGAGCCGTGCAAATTTGCAAGAGTTTTTTTTTCCGAACTAGAGTAAGCAGACATGACGTCTGAACCGAATGTGAGTTTGGAAACAATTAGAGAATTTGACCGCAACCAAGCTTTCAGCTCTCCCTGTTGCCACAGCATTGTGAACATGCTCAGCCGCATCGTGCTTCCTTTGATCAATGAGATCAGCATTCCGCCAACAACATGTTGGCTCAAGATTAGGAGGCGTAAATTCTGCTAGCACAGTGAGACAAAAAGGGCGTGAGTTGTCAAGCAGAGTTGTCCACATTCTCAGTTGCAATTATCTACTCTTCTGGGGTGATAATTCTCGCAGATTATGGTTATGGAAAATCTTGCTAAAAATGCCCATGATATAAAACCAGTTATGGATGGTTAAAACCACCAACCAGATGATTATTGATTGATTATTGATTGATTATTGATGACTATTGATGACTATTGATTATTGGGGATGGTTATTGCACCACCAACCATCATTATATACCCTCTGGTAATTTAACATAGCTATTGAAAATGGCCATTGAAATAGTGAGTTTTCCCATGAAAAATGGTGATTTTCCACAGTTTTTTGTATGTTTACCAGAGGATAACCATGATCATGATATTATTATTAGCCATTATATGGGTTATATTACCACTATACCACCACCAACCATCATTATATAACATTATATAACCATATTTTGGCCATCGGCATCAAGCCATGGCCATCGGAGGTCCTGGGACCGTTCCATCGTCGTTCACGATGAGTCCAGCAAGACGGAGGTGGTGCATCGCCGCGCCACCAATTCGCACAAGGCCCATGTGTGTTTTTTTGGGTGAAAATAAGCAGAACTTTGGACACATGGATATATATATATATATAATTATATAATTTATATATATATGTATAGTTTTTTAAAGTCATAACATGTTGTGAACATATTTATATGATTATGAACATATTATGAACACATTATGAAATAATATTACATAAGACATCATAAGAACATCTTATGAACATACTTTTTACAATGCATGAAATGATGGATAAGGCGACCATGGCCAACCTGGCGTTTGATCAGTGATCAGCCTGTTTTTTGACGGGATGACTACCAATACCTGGCTTCAACTGTGACTCAACTGCTGTCACTGGCCTGTTTGTCTCAACTGGTTTTGTCTGAAAATAGTGTACCCATGTGTACCCCTAAGATTGAAATTATCATTATTTTCCCCATGAAATGGTAATTTTGGCAACATATCCACCACTTCAGATTGTACAATTCCTGTTTTTTTGGTCGGATATCCCACATGGATCCACATAGGCTATCGTTGGCTGCTACTCTACCTAACTCACCGGAATGTTGAGGACCATGACCCGCATGTTTTCTTGTCATTTGCTCTGCCGGATTTCCCCTTCATGGATTATGATGACTTATTAACAGGTTCCACAACATTGAAGACAACAAAACGAGATTTGGACATGTCCCATTCAAACGGCCGAAGCCGGCTCAGGGTGACATCACGTGCGTGGCTTACAGGCGCGACAAAAGTATGAGGTCACCTTATGGATCTACAAAATCATCAACACATTTGGAAATCGCACATCAAATGACTCTTTTGCTGTAATGTTAGTAAAACAATAGTAACACATCAACCCAATTTTACCATTTTTTATGGGGTCGGATTTTAACCATCAATCCAGGTGGTTTAACATCGCTTTACTAACATCATTGCCATCGTTTTTTGTTGGGTGATGCCCTGCCAGCACTGACAAAAATGCCCTGCTGCCCAGTCGGCATTTGGGATTGATCGCAACGGGCTCTACAGATTGCGTCATTGCAGTGCGAGAGTGCGGGTCCCCAGCTGGGAGCCGTTGGGATCCAGTCAAGTGGGATCCGTTGCGGTTGTTTGAATAATGATTAGCCTCTGGTAATGACTAACAGAACTATTGAAAATGGTGATTTATAGTGGATTTTCCCATGAAACATGGTGATTTTCCATAGTTATGTTAGTTTACCAGAGGGGAATGATTGGATTAATGTGAGAAACCCGAGAATGAACCTACCATTTGGGGATGGTAAACATAGCACCCTAATAAAAATATAGTGGTTTTGGGGATGGTTTATTATTGGGACCACATTACCCTAAGTTCCAATGGTTTATAGACTTAGACATAGCCTCCACTCGCGAAAACAGTGGGCAATGAAGGTTAATAGGAAGCTCCTACTTAAAAGTTAAGAGCTGATAGTTCTGGTGGTCACTGGCAACGTGGGCGAAGACTATATCATACTATATGTCTAATTTATCAGTATTTTTCCCACTAAGTGGCTTGACTTTAAGTTGTCAATCTATGATATAAACCATTTTAAGACACACCCAAGTAGCCCTTGAGAACGCAAGCATTCTGAGAGTTGTACCACCTGATTTCCAAGGTATTTGAAGCTGCGAATCCTTTCATACCTTCTCGGTCACAAGACAGGCGCTGAAAAATGATCGTTATCGCAGTTATCTCAGTGGTAAAGCATGGTAAACCATTTGTGCCATGGTCAAAACTTCGCAAATCCAAAAACCCTGGTAATTGAATTAATGATGTGGCAAGTTGATTTGAGAATGGTAATCAAATTTAAACCATGGTAGTCCACCATCCTTGCAAATTGAATTGATGATGTGGCAGAAGATAGTGCGAGGCAACGGTTCGCAAATTACATGAGACTGCCTGAGGTTGCAGAAGAGGAATGCGAGGGACGTAAACACAAACAAAAACTAAAAAATAATACAACTAGTACCAGACGTTTAAATGATACTAATATAAGATATATATATATATATACACATTATATATATACCCTCTGATCTGGGTACCTTGATTTTTCAGGGTTCCAAAAACATAGTTCGGTTATGACTTCAAAAACATGTAAAAACCTGGGTTTTAACCACAACCCTGAAATGACCCTTTCCAAGATCTTCCAAGCAGCTGTCCTTGGTGCTCCAAATCCATTGCAGGCTCAAAGGAGAGCACAAGATGATAAGATAATATAAGATAATAACAATCGAGACAATGAGGTGGGAAATCTCTGAAATTCACGTTATTGATGATATCAAGATACAAAACCCTGGACAAATTCCGAAGACTAAGTAATGTTATACAATATTAAATATCAATTTGGTATAGATTCTTAATTATATATAATCTATACCAATAGATCCTCGTCTCATGGCCTCTTCTTCTACTGCCGGTGAAGCAGTCCGGACCCCAACTTTTTTCTGACTTGCTTGGGCTGCGGTTTCGTAGCTTCAGAAAATTGCAGTGTTTGCAAGGGCATTGCACCAGCTCAACTCCTGGAGTGGCATCCAAAGCTTTTGGGCTCAATTTTATATCCAGGGCAAAAAAAAATGCCTAGAAAACCCAGGATGCTGTTGAAGGAACTCGCAGCTCTTTGGGATGTTGATGCTGATGTCCGGTCCCATCTTAGAAAGTTTGGCTCTGTCCTCCATGTCGATGGGGCAACTTTTCGGCCAACGGTTCAATCCTGCAGCCAAAACATGTCTGCAATTCTTCCTGTGCTCCAGTTGACCCAGGAGCAACTCAACTGAACATAGCAGTCAGCTGAAGATGCCGATGTTATTTTTGATTCATTCATCAAGTGCATTGAAAAATCTATGGTTTCTGGAACATGCATTTCTTTGGTTTATTCACGAGGCTAAGGATAGAACATATTACAACATGTTGTCACATTCAAGAACATGTTGGGGTGCCTGGCGCCTAGGGAGCTGATCCTGCCGGAAGTCAAACCATTGACTGATCAGCTGAAGAAGTTCTATGAGATGAACGGCAAGGCACCTACTGAGGAGCATCTCTACAGGGAATGTTGGGGCATCAAATCTGCTTGCAGCTTTGTCAAAAGGAAGGGACGCCGATGTGAGATCCCCCGAGAAGCATGGCTGAAACAATGTGATTGTTTGTTTGTTGTCTCATGTTTTCTTCATGCAAATGAAAGTGAACACATTCAAGAACAAAATGTATACAATTATAATCAAGCATAACTTTGGTGGCATACACAGCTGTGCACTGAGGACAGGCGATTCCACAAACTCCTCTTGACATACTTTCCCGATCTGCAGGTCAATTGGCAATTGATTTGTCAACTCAATTGATTTCTCAGTTCAAGTCAGCGATGACTCAAGCAAGCTGCAAAAAATGTGTTTATTCATGTTTCTTCCACATCATCAACAGCCCTTGCAGGAAGCGATTGACGAACTCATGGCGCAAAATGTTGGCAGCGAAGAGGAAGAAGAGGCTTGGTGGATTTATAATGATTTATACACGCAAAGTTATTCAAATCAAAAGGCATGTTTTCATTGTCTTTTGCTGTGTGCCAACTTGTTTGATTAACCCTATAATAGTTTTCCAAGTCTTTGAAACTCACCCACAACAACCCTGAAGATCTTCATGCAGTCCTCCGGCCATTGCTGCATGCCCACCAGGAGCTTGATGATCAGGAAGTACCACCCGATGTTCCTGCAGATGCTTGGAATGATGATGAGGAAGAGGATGGGGATGGTGAAGAGGATGCGGGTGCTGTAGCGGCCCTGGATGACACCCCCAATGATTCTGTGCCCACAACAGAGCTGGACAACGTGGATGCTGACCTAGATGGTCATGGTGATGATAGTGACTCTGATGTTGAGATGGTTGAACTTGACCCATACAAACATCAACCTGACAACCAACTTGGACTTTCAGACTATGAGTCACCCCGGCATTTGAGTGAAGAACCTTTGACGACACCACATGGGGATAGCAAAGTGGTTACCCCTGCGTTGCGCAAAGCTGCGCATCTGAATCCTGAAGACCTCTCTGGTGATGATTCACTGTCGGGGCCATCGTCATCGTCACTTCCAGGCGCAAGTTTTATTATCCAACTTCCCAAAACAATCAAATTCAAGATCCACTGGATTCTTAGTAGGACGCTCTGGATGCTTTATGTTCAATGCTGATTGATTGACAACGATTCAATGATGTGCTGTGTCATCGTACTTGTGCTGGCAGCGTGCAGGTGCCACTGCTGCATATCAACAGGAGATACATGCTATCATCCAGGAACTCCAAAGGTGCGACAGCATCTGTGATCACAACTTGGATTTCCTTCATATCAGTCCAGTGCATGTGTTACTTTGATAGTTTGACAATCCTTTGCAGGCGTGAGGAGCTACGCATACAACGTGAAGCAGCAGAGAAACAAGGCTGGGATTGGGATGGAGCAAAGTGACACCAGCAAAAAGCGTTTGATTTGTGACAAACCACATGTGACGAAAACCACTTTTAATCAGTCACTGAATTCCCATACTCCCCGCTGTATGCTTCTTCCAATTGCTGCTTTGCTGCAGGTGTGATGACGATTGATGATTCCCTGCCCATGGAAAACCCGGATCTCTGCGACACTGTGCCCATGTTTTTCGAGGATGGTGGTGCGCCTGGTACTCCCAAAGATTCTGTCTTCACTACGGGTTCTGATTTGCCTGAAGTCCACATGCCCCCAAGCATCAGTGGTGATCATAATGGTGGAACAAATGGAAGTGAATCTGTTGCTTCCCCTGCGCCACTGGTGAAGTCACCTCGTGTCCTTCCACCTGTACCAGCCTTTGAATCATCTAAGCCAAGTGAGTCGGATGTGCCATAGTTGAAATCATAAACTTTCATTTTTCCAACTACAGAATTATCACACATTTTGAGGACATGATATATTATGGTGTATTATATTGTATATAATATAAGATATATTGTTTTGAAAAGTTTCTCTTCTGACCATTCCTGAATGATGGCTTATTATATAGCTAAGGTTTTGACCCGTCGTGACCAACTTGGCATGCGAAAGAAGAAGGGCAAGGGCAAGGGCAAGGGGGACAAGGGAAAGAAGTCTGATGCCGAGGATGGTGAATGTGACCAGGGATCCCAGAAGCGAAAGAAACCCAGAGTTGCCGGCAAAAACAAACATGGGAAAACCAACACAACCAAGAGAGCTCGAAAGGTCAAGGGTAAGGATTCTGAGGCTGAGGTTTGTGATACCCCTGACGCACCTGGCAGTTCCAAGGGTGGTCAAAAGAATGCAGTGTGCAAGGGCAAGGCAAAGAGCAAAGCATCTCCCAAGAAAAGGGGGTCTCCAAAGTCTACCCGAAAGCCAGTTCCAAAGGCATCCCCAAAGAAAAAGTCTCGTGGATCCAAAGTGAAGCCGTCAGCAGGCAGTCCTTCTGAGCTTCCAGGTGGCAGTGCAGCGGATGATGTTGAGCCTGGGAAAGTGAAGGAGCCCATGCCCAAACGTCGGGCACGCAGGGTGGCCACTCCGCAGGCACATGTCTCGGCCCCTGTTGGTTTGAATCTTCAAGATTTGAAACGATGTTTCCGGGGTGAAATTGCACATCAGTGGAAGTCAGGGAAGAAAAATCTGAAGGGAGGTGATTTCTCACTGTCTTCGTTTGAGAAGACGACCCTTTCCTGCTACTACAGCCGAGCAAGGCCATCCATTGGCTTGAGGGGTAAGAAAAAGGATTACCCAATGCGCACAAACTTGGAATGCTACAATTTCTCGTTCAATCTCAAGGATGTCTTGAATGTTGGATTGGCCATGAAGTGTGCACTTGTGGCTGTTTCTTGACTTATGGTTTGGAACTTCAAGATTACTTTGGCCTTAGAAATGAATCACGAGAATAGTGACTTACTTTTTCCAAACATCGCCAAAACTGAGGCTGAATGGATTGATCAGCAGGCCTTGGACAATGATGACTTTGACATCTTTTCGGAACCAGTGCAGACCCATCTGAGCAGCATCAAGGAGACAGCCTTGGCTGCCATCGAAGACTACAAAGCTGAGAGTCCCGCCGGTGGTGCTGATGTCGATTGATTTGACCACCTGTGCCGGCGGTCTGAGACAACATTTGCCCTGGTGTGTTTCTAGACACAGGGGGTTCTTGAACAACCACCATGTCATGGTTCTGCAGTTTCATTGCAACAGATCTCAATCTTGTACTAGAAAAAATATCAAAGTCATCTCATTATCTCATTGTTTATCTCCTCATGCTCATGGTGGGATGTTGCAGATGGCAAATGGCCCTGCTTATTTATGGCAGTGGGCAGAACCTGCTGCTTGAAGGGGTGTGTGCAACCAGTCCTACTGGCTTGCGTGACGTATGATTCCGTGTGGTATGGGGTTCGGTGGCCATGAAGTGCTCGAATGAAACTTTTGAGAAAGAGACATTTGGCCAAAACTGCGATCGGAGAAAAAAAAGGTCTTTCCTGTTTGCAAACTTCTCTTCTCAAGTTTGGGTGGATATGTATTCGAACCTGTTTGCCTGGTTGTTTGCCTCACTTTCTCCTTAGCCTTTTGCACTTCGATCTTGAATTTGGAACATTTGAATCTGTGTCTGAACAATACCTTTGCTGAGGCCATGCTCCATGGTGAAAATCCGTGGCCGGACCTGGGCCGCAAAGCGTGGACTTCTCCGTGATGAATCACGTGGGCCTGGCCAAGTTGAGAAACCAATCATGTGAATCACTCAGTGAATCTCTTGTCGTGGGTTTTGATTCTCCATTCATGTCCGGTAGTCGAGCTTGTCACATGCGTGCATTCCTTACAATGCATCCTTAAGCATTTGGGTTCCAGTCGTGGGGTGTTTGGATCCACCTTTGGGCCATTTGTTGCTATGAAGTCCCTCCCCAATATCGTGTGCCACCTTGTGGCGATGGCATCGCCTGCTGAGACTTTGACTGTACGTGACTGTATATATGTTCTCATTCTTTCCCGGGGCCAAATTTTTTTGACATCTTGTTGAATTACTAAATTGTATATAAGATATTAATAGATATTTCAAGATTATATAAGATCCTCCCATCCCTTTCATTTGTGGGCTGTGCTCGGCCTCAATGTCCAAGGACTTCATCTTGGCCGTGCTCCTCACAGCATATGTGGTGCAAATGGAAGAGGCTTGGGAAAGTGATGCCTTGTGATGTCATGGAACGAACCCAGGACAAACCAAATCACATGTGAATTCCTGTGAAGGACCTGCAGTTCATTGAATTTTTTCTGGACGAGCTCGTGCAACTCTTTGCATGAAAGCAGCTGGACTGCGAGCTGCGCGTCTGGATTTCATGTATTTCGATGGCGAGGGGAACAATTACTACAACATTTTGACTGATGGAGGTTTCGCGTTTCTTGGCAAAGAAATTTTAGCCAACCCATCAAAACCAAATTCAGCAACTTTGTTCAATATGTTATATGTTCATCTTGCTTGAGTGCATGGACTCACTTGCCACATAAGGCTGTGCATAGCAACTATGTTACGAGCCCGAGCTGGTGAGTGTGTCATTCTGCTTGGAATGAAATGTTCCTCATGGACCGTTGTGAATCAAGGGACCAGCCGACGTGCCCCATGCTGTCCGTCTGGTGACACGACCAAAGTGAGTGTCAAAATGGCCAATTGCATGGCTGCTAGGAAGCTAAGTTTCATTAATCTATTTTTTTTTGTTGTCAAAGCAATTGAACCAAAAATGATTCCAACGAGTTGTGAAAACCTTGAGCCCCCATGTCCCGCAGCTTTCCAAGGACGATATTGCTATGTTTACTTGCCTTGGCCACAAACAACGTGTACCTTTTGGAGCAACCGTTCCAATCACTGCTGCGTTGGTATGGAAGGTTTCGGCACCTTCAAAGTGTCAGCCGTGTTTCTTGACTATATATTTTTTGACTTGATCCTGATATCGTAGAATCTTAGAATGTGACAAAATGTGTTCACTTGTTTGGTTGTCATGAAAAGAACAGCTGAAAACCAGTATCCTTTTGAATCTGAGGTCTACCAAGCAGCATGGTGGATGTATCACTACGGGGCTAGCAGCCCAAAGCGCCACGTGATTTTCAGTAACACTCCTCATGTTGCAAAACTTTCACTTGGACGCCTACTGGGGTGGAATGCTGCCATGAACAAAGGGAAAAAACCCTGCCGGACCTACCAGGGTAAAGATGGGAAGAAACGATTCCATGGCACACGCCATTTGAAACGTACTGAGAAGCTGGTCTCAATGTTTGGGGCCCATGGAATATACCTTTAAACTTGTAGAGTGTTTCAGTTTTATCCTTTTCTATGGGGCTCTAGATAGAGGTGGAAACCAATCATTGGGATGATAGATGGTGAAAATCAATGTACAATTCAAAACCCTGGAAACATTGGCACTTAGACACTTAGAGTATTGATTATATAGATGTCCTCACAGTAACATTTTTGGAACCAAAAAAGGGCGCCAAAATAAAATATATCCATATTCGAAGGGCCCCACCTAACTCAGCCGGGCCCCACTGTCCCAACCAGTCCTTTTGGGTGTTGGTAGTAGAAAATGTAGGCATTCTCCACCTTGTCGGGTTGATGTGGGGTAGATACATTTCAATCTAACGTCTTTTCAAAGTTAAACCATAGCGGTTGTCTGAAACCATCACTCTTAAATAATAATTTAAGTCATTCACCTAAAAGTCTATGACCCACCTGGGTATATGATGGTATATGAAGAGCACAAAAAGAAACAGCACACAACACAACAACAGAAAAGCAAAGCGCCAGACCTGAGACACACAACGCATAGCGCCACACAAGAACCTAAGCAATCCTAAGTCCAAAAAAGATTGCAACAAACTGGGCAAGATCAATAACATTTTACTGCCAATATTTCATGCGATGCCATTGGTATGAGTCTTGCAGCCCCAATGATGCATACCAGGACCAGCCCAACAAATTAACAGTTAATCAATTAACTTTGAGACTTTTGAGGGTCCTGACTTTTGCTATTGGAAGGTGGCTCAATCAACTGACATCGTGATTCTCTTCCAATTCTCGCTGAATACCAAGGAATTATCCTATTCGCTTTGGGATGAAACTTCTTCAATTACGTGATCTGATGTTGCGGGACCATGCTGAGCCGCCATCAAAACGATGGGACTTTGATTTCGATGATCTCCTACTTTCCCTGGAGAAAATGGATTGGACCCAAGTTTGGGAGGATGCAGAATTGCAATCCGTATGCCATTACTTGAGGGGGTCCAAGAACTTGCAGCTGCCACCAGAAATTCGCAGCCGCATTCCTACTGCCATGTAGGCAGGAATTTCCTCGCTGGGTGACATGGTTGGGTGGTTTTCCCACTTGAATCACAAATAGGATCTCTCAGGGATTCTCAGGGGGCCCCCTGCCTAGGGATGTCTACGGGAATCTGGCAGCCAATACATTTTTAAAGGAAATTGAGAGTTTTTTGATGATTTTCAGGTGTTTTTTGATGTTTTATCATGTTTTAAGAAACCCACCAAAATGGCAACCCGTAATCAACCGTATATCCTGTAAACGCCCGTAGTATATCCCGTATATGACCTCCCCGTAAATTGACCTCCCGTAAATACCCGTAGAGAACCCGTAAAATCCCGTAAAAATACGTAGGCTCCGTACGTACTTTGGAGGTAATTTTAAGGTTTTTAGCAAAACCACACTTTTGAGATTTTGAAGGCATTTGATGGCCACTTGATGCCATTTTGGCTGTTTGATATGGCACTCGACAACCCAGCGGGGGACTTGCATTGCACACCTCTTGCGTGGATTCACTGCCGGAGGCAATTGATGGGAAAAAGAATCCAACTTCGCAACTGCACTTGTCATCATTGGATCTGTGTCACAGGTCTGCAGGTCCAACTGAAAGTTTTGAACAAACATTGTGGTGCTTTAAATTTCAACATGCTTTTGTGAGGGCTCGCAAGCTGCTGGTGGCACCCCTGGTGCCTCTAGCTTCACTGATCATGTCAGTTGAAGGCCCCAATGTGGTGCCAAAGCAAATGGCCTCACGACAGTGGAGTGCTGAAACTTTGCAAAATGGCATGAATGCCGTGCTTTCTGATGTCAAGTGTGAGCCCTGGATGGAGTCTACTGATGAAGAGCTCAAAGACCGTTTGAAGGCTGGGTTTATGTCTCTCGAGTCTATAACTTTTACGGCAATTATTATGTCAAGCTCATCAAATCAAAGAATCAAAATCTTGGAACCAGTGTACATTTTCTGAATGCCAGAACCTTCGACAGCTTCAAGAACAAGAAACAGTGCAATCTGATTCCAGTGCCGCCGCTGAGGAGACTTCATGTTGCATTATCAAAACTGAGCTTCTTTGTGATGATTGGTGTTCACTTGTGCTGTCCTGTCCCAAAAGCCCGCTTAGCTCCAAGCAAACTGCATTGTTAGCCCTGAAAGGGATGTCCTTGCGCAGTTGGCTGTATGCAGGACCCTCGCCGATCTGACAAGAAAGAACCCTCTGAAGTAGAGACCCCAGACTTTCAGATCCGTTGTGTTGTTAGCAGGTGTTCACGGTATTCATATACAACTTGCACAAGCTTATACAACAAAGAATTTTACAAAGTGGTGTCTTTCAGAACCAACTTCATCTATAGCATTCATCCGTTGATATGTTTGAACTTGCAGGCTGCTTTGGAAAAAGGACATCAAGAAGAATGTTCTGCCGCGGCCCGTCAGGCTACCACTTTGGTGTTTTAAGCTTTCAATGCCTTTTGCCAACATCTATTAATTAGGCTCAACATGTCTGTCTTAATTTCTGACTCAGGCTGAGTTGGAGAAACGTCTCAATGATGCACATGCTGAGCTGGCCATGTTCAAAGCTCAGAGTGAAGGAGGCAATGTGAAAACACCAGGAGCTAGCAAACGTACTTCGCCAAATGCTGCGGTTGAACCCTCTTTGAACCCACCAGCAAAGAAGTTGAAAAGCCCAGAGACTCCTTCCAATGCTGCTCCTGCTCGGGGTCCTTGTCAGCCTCAGGCCAGGCACAGTGGTGCACACTTCATTAACTTATCTCTCAAATAAGAACCCTGGT